AGGCTAACACATCTCATATATATACATATAAGGGCACGGCTAACACAACTCATACATATACACAGAAGGGCATGGTTAACATAGCTCATACATACACATGGAAGGGCATGGCTAACACAGCTCATACATACACATGGAAGGGCACGGCTAACATAGCTCATATACACACATGATGGAAGCAGATCTTACCTGTTATTCTGCCCACTGTTCCTTTCACAAAGTTGCCCACATATCCAGCCACATGTGCTCCAAGGCTATAGCCAATCAAGTGAACGTTCCCAAGAGAAAACTCTTCTTTCTCCTGAAAAGAGTCATCAAGGAGCGTGAGCTAAAGAATGTAGCCCTGAGCCTCCAGGTCTACCAACAATTCAGCTTGTCCATCATAACAGAAGCGCCGCAGGGGTCACAGGCCTAAGAGTCCCTGCAGCATCACCAGTGTTGCTGGCATGCAATATGGATGGTCCACACCAGGGACAGGGAGTTCTAAAGGACTTGGTGGCACTTGAAATGCCAAGGGGCAGGGTGAACGCTAGGACCACAGGAGGCCTACCCGAGCTTTCCTCTGCAAGCTCCCCTACAAGCTTTCCTCTTTGGGGCAGTATGTAGAGGTCACAAATGAATCAATGCAAAGGTCAAAGATACCATACCCTTGGCAGACCAAAGTGCCAGCCATCACTGCAGTGACCTGCCAGTACTCTTAAGTGTTGGCCGCTACTGTACCCCCAGAAGCTTCTGACTCTTCACGTTAAGCTACCTGCGCTCCCACAGGTGGAGAGGTGACCCCTTCCAGAGTACTCATCTGGGGAGGGCAAGGGCCGTGCTGAGGTGAGGCTTTGACCTGTGGTTCAGAAGACACTCTTTCCAGCACCCCAGAGCAGACAAGGACTGCTCACAAATCTTGCCCAGGATTCTGCCAGGAGTCATCAGATTCCCGGGCGAAGAGAAAGTCAGGCTGGAAATACTCAACATCTAGGGTCACTTTGTCCATAACCCTCTTGTCCCTCCTGCCTCTTAAGTCTACTGGTCTCGGGAAAATGGTTAAATTATAAAAAGTAAATGAAGACCTCAAGATCTGCTTTGCACACACTGTTTTAAAGAATGCAGCCGCCGATGATCTATTTGAAGCAGCCTCCTTGCCATTCCTTTGCACGGCCACCCTCCAACGGCAAGAGCAGCCGTCTGTGGCTCCTTCAGATGGAAAACCAGACCTGGCTCCTGGCCATCCTCAACAACCCTAAGGGTACCAGCTTCTAAGGTCGGGAACTAGTCTCCCACAAGACACTTTTTTTCTACGGCAAATAAGGGAACAGAAAAATCCAGAGATCTATCAATCATTGCAAGGCTCTCAAGCAGGCTTTGAGGTGGTTCATGCAGTGCTTTAATTCAGCAAAAACAGTAATTCTGGAAATTCTGATCATTCTCAGAGTTCCCGGTAACTACACGTGCTCCGCTTTTCCTAAGACAATGCAGGCTCAAGGTCCTATCTACCGTAAGAAATGAAACAGGGGGAGGGAAAACCCTAATAAAGATGGCTCCCTTTTATCCCTCCTTACCTGCAACCAGTCAAGCATCCTGGCCACTCTCTGTCCCACCACTCTGGTGTTATTGACTGCATCTAAGTACAGCTGGTGAGCCAAGGGCAGCCAGTCAACCACCACGACATTGGCATATCTCTCTCTCGTATGCAGGGCCGACACAAGTTTATACAGCCATTTTTCCAATATGCCACTCAACTGCAAAGAAAATAGAAAGATTATTTTCCTTCTAATTCTCCTTCTGGACTTCAGCGATCCCATGATCCTCTCCCCATCTGACCGGTCCTTCACAGTGGCTGCTGAAGGAAGGAAGCCTCTCTCCCATGTGCAAGCCGGCCAGAGGCAGAAAGGCCTGATGCTTTCTTTCCCCCTTTGCTCTGCAGGTCTCTGGTTTCCCGTCGAATGTCTCACAGCTGATGTGACGGCTATACCATGCCGTGCCGGGCTATACCGTGCCCTTCTGTCTGCTACATGGGTTTTGGTGGTGATGATGGCAGGAGGTTAGTCTGAATCCCTGTCACAGTCAGGCAAGCGGCCTGGTTCATCCTTCAAGGAGTTAGCGAAGGTTGCCTTGGAGAATTAGCTCCTCCCTTAGAAACACACTGTCACTTAGGCAAACACCAACCTTACAAATGATGCCCTCCCACAACCCATCTCGACCATCCTCTTGACCCCAGCGTAAGAAAAATCCACCCCTGGAATCCCAAATTAGAACTCAGAACACATTTTCCCACAGAAACAACATTACACATGGTGAGTAGAGGCAGCTGTAAACCTATCCACACGTACGTTATCAAATAAATAGATTGTCTGTGCTTAGCCTGGGAACCCAAACACTATTTACAACTTGCTTCTATGGGAAACTACCATTCCAAGTTCCAAACACATTACAAAAGAACTTTCTGGAACGCTCCCCATTTGTAAGCTACAGGCAGTTAGTATTTGCATTTTGACAGGAGGGAGGACCTTAGCGAAATTCAAATGTGACATTCCACTTGTGTCCTGAGGGATGAAGACAGACAGACAGGCCCTCGGTCATCACTATAGGAAGGTAGACTCCTACCTTCCTGACTCCCAAGCCCAACCCCAACTGTTGACGGTAGACCTAAAGACCCAGCAAGAATGTAACGGATATGAATTTCTCATCATTAAGAGGGAGAACGTCCCCTCCCAATTAGTCCAGGCAGAAATCTCTTCCATTAATAGCACCATTTTCTTACAGACTGTCTTTCTATGAATGAACAAATCCCTTGCTGGCCAAGAGTTTCTGAAGCTGAGTGTTAAAGCCCTTTTTTGTTGAAGTTTGTCATGGGCCTTTCAATGGAAATTGCTCAGCTAGGGCACAGAAAGAGCCCCAGTGCCTTTAACCGGGGCCACATCTCTATGCAAACAGGAGGGCAGCATGCCAGCAGAAGCCAGCCAGCCAGGCCAGCTGGCCCCTCCGAGCCTCTGAGCCCGTTAAGTTGCTTCAGCTCTGCTCTGCTCTAAGAGCACGACGGGCCCCCTCCAGGCAGTGGTTGGCCAGTGTAATTAAGTATAATTAGAGATCCTTCAGAGCTAAGGGAGTTGGGCTGCTGGCCTCAGGAGAACCACTTTCTGAAAACCCACTGCATGCCAGCTCTAAATGCCACCCTGCTGAGCCCAGATTGCCCCCTCTGAGAAGCGCCCATTACATTCTTCACAGCTGTCTGAAATACAAGCAGCCCACAAGGAAAGGGGGGGAGAGGGTTTGGAATCTGGAAGCACCACTATTCTTTTTAATTGACCAAAACAAAAGGAATCAAATCTTATAAAAAGCTGCAGAACCCCCTCCTGGGCTCACCGTCCATCCATGAATGATGAAAAAGGTTTTGGCTGTCATGTTGAAGCCACAGTCTTCCAAGAGTTGGCTGTCACCGAGGGAGAGATTGCACCCTTCATGCTCCGGGTCCTTAGAAGTGCGGATGTTAAAAACCACAGAGGGTTTGGCAGAAGCCCGTACTCCAGTGGGCTTATGAGACTCATCTGGGGAGGAAGAACAGCGTGAATCCTTCTGGTGTCTGGGGTAGTGACTTCTAGTTCAGTCTTGAGTGAATTACTTGTCTGGGTTTTAGTTTTCACAACTACTGGGTGTTTCCCTCTTTGCCTTCTTCAGCAGTGGTTCTCAACCTAAGAGTCAGACATTTACACGAAGATTTATAACAGTAGCAAAATTGCAGGTATGAAGTAGCCATGAAGTAACTGAAGCTACTGTAAATCTGTTATCATAACTGTCCTTCGTGAGTATTAATTAGTCATTTGGACTGAGTTCTGTTGCTCGGAAATAAGTAGCTGCCTTTCTTCCTTTCCTTTATCCGTCCCCACCAGATTGATTTTCCTTCCTTTCTTCCCTCCCTCAAATTCCTACCTTTGGAGTGTGGGTTCTCTTTGCCTGAGACGCTCAAGACTAGTTGAGTCAAGAATTTAGAAATTTTAATATTTAAAAACAAAATCTTTATGGCTAGGCACAATGGTGTATGCCTGTATTACCAGTATTCTTGAGGCAGAACCAGGTAGGATGATTGTAAAGTCTAGGCTAGCATGGGCCAAAGAGTTGCAAGTCTGAGTTCATGCCCTCTCTCTCTTCTCTCTCTCTCTCTTTCTCTCTCTCTCTCTCTCTCTCTCTCTCTCTCTCACACACACACACACACACACACACACACACACACACCTAAGCCTGATAGCTTACACCTATAGCCTATAACCTCAGAACTTTGGAGGCTGAAGCAAAAGGACTTCTACGAGTTTGAGACCAGCATGGATGACATAGTGAATTCCAGGCCAACCTGGATTTTATAGCAGGACTGGGGAACGGGAAGACAGTGACAGAGAGAGGGACGGTGACATCAGAGGGAGAAGGCAAGCATTGAGGAACGTATTTATTACATGACAGCCCCAGTTGAGCCTGGGGTACCCCCCCAATGGAAAAAGAATGCAAAGATTACAAATAGCTTTCTATCGGGTTTGCCTCCAGCTGAGGTGAGAGCATGTAAGGTCAGGTTCCTGCCATACAACTTCCCAGCAAACTGCAGTTTTGAGAGGTCTGGGATTTTGCAATTGCAGGCAAAAGGGTATTGACCCCACTGTCCAAGCAGCTTCCCTGGTGCTCCCATTTTGATCCAACGCTTACTTCAAAGTCCTTACACATTCTTGGGGTTCTTTGCAGGGGCAACAGGCACCGGTTTGCTATGCGAATAGCTGAAGCCATTGGAAAACTCCCCCACAGCGTCAAGCGGCCCCTTCCAGCTCTCTATAACTTCCGGCATTGCCTTTCCTTGCTCCCAGGACAACACTAATGGCCACTATGGCCATGTGACACCAGGTAAGCACCATCATTTAAGATAATTACTAGCTGACCCCCATCATCACTCACTCAACCATCCGAGTAATCCTCTCTTGGTGACGGATTAGGGAAACAGAATGTACTCTCCTCATTACCCAGAAGTCACAGGGAGATACCAAATGAACATCCAGGAGCTTAATTCACCCAAGAGTTAAGCATGGAAGGGTGAACCAGTTCTAGTGGCACAAGGTTGTAATTCCCAGCTACTGGGAAGGCTGAGGGCAGGAAAACTGAAGATGGGAAACCTGTCTGAGCTACAGAACAAACTGAAGGCAAATCTCAGTAATTTAGCTAATCCTGGTTTCAAATTTTTAAATACTAATAAGAAACAATAGTTGTAAAAGGCTAGGGATGTCACTCTGTAGGAGAAAGCTTTGAGAACACGCTTAAGGCCATAGACTTAATCTCCAGTACTGAAAGGATACACAAGGAAACTAGGAAGCAGTTCGGTCACTTGAGAGCTTGCCTAGCATGCAAAAAACGCCGAGTTTGATCCCCAGCACCTCGTAAGCCAGGTGTGGTGGCCCATGATTGTTCAAGGTCAACCTCAGCTGCATACTGAGACACTACCCCCTCTCCCCGCACAAAAAAAAAAAAAAGGAGGAGGAGGAGGAAGAGGAGGAATTGGTCAAAGAAACCATAGCTATAGAGGGTGGTGGTGAGATGGGCCAGGGAGATACAAGGGTTTGGGGACATATGCCAAATGTAAGAGGGATAAAATCCAGAAAATGCCCCGAAAGACACGTGACTAGAACACAGGTTAGTAGTCATGAAATTAAAGGCCCAACTGACAGAAATGTGAGCTACAGACATTACCAGTTCAGGTCTCCAACCTGGACAGCCATTCTCACAGAGAACAGACGGGAAGGCTTAGGAGGAAAAAAGGAACTCTTAGCCTCCCGAAAGGGAGCTGAAGCTAAACCCACAGGGGCAAGGAGGACCACCCTGTCATCTGACCCCACTGACCCCACTGCAGCCTAACTTGGTCCCTACTACTTAAGAGCAGGGTCACTTTGGCTTCTGGACCTTTGTGATTGTTCTTCACCCAGACGTCCTTGTGGTTCATTCGTTCAGCTCCTTGCTGAGGGGTCAAGTTCTAGACTAAGTCTCCCTCTGAGCACACATTAAAAGGTACCACCCTCCCTCAGCAGAAGTTTAAGCCTCCTTCCTCAGCTTCACTCTCTGGCCTCACTCTGAGTACCATTTACATACTTTTATTAGCCAGGGAGCGGTGGCACATGCTTTTAATCCCAGCACTTGGGAGACAGAGGCAGATGGGTAACTGAGTTTGGGGCCAGCCTGGTCCACAGAGCCAGTGCTAGGACAGGCTCCAACGCTACACAGAGAAACCCTGTCTCGAAAAACAAAACAAAACAACAAATCCTTTTATTAGGTCCCACTGCTGAGATCAGGTCCCGCAAGGATAGACTGCCACCTAGTATGTTCTTCGCTGACCTCCCCCACCATCCAGAGTTCCTTCCTGGTACTGGAATGCAGCCACACTTTTCAAATGAATGGCGCCACCCCCAAAGTACTCAGAACCACAAAACACAGAAATTTGAAGGAACTTCATCATTCTTCAGCAAAGGAATTAGAGATGCCACCTACCCCAAGCCAAGCTTCTAGCTAACACTCAAGTTAGAAACAGGCTAGGAGAAGGTAGGTTTTTTTCTGTTCCTCCCAACTTAAGCTCCCACTGCCCATAAACTAACATGGACTCGTAGCTTCTGGCGTGCTACCTGCAGACTAAATGTAGTGGTAAGTCTTGGTTTTAATGCTCTGGGACCCTCCACTGCTCTAGATGACCCCACCCTCACTCCAACAGGCCAGGTCGCCTCCGGTGAGAGAGTCGTACAGAACCAAAGAGGAAAAAAGATGCTGGAAGAAAGGGGTAGAATGGGGGAATGGGCAGAGGAGGACAAATTATTTGGGGAGGAAGTTACAGACCAGATGTCCCCTACAAGCTCTTATCAATCTGAAGCCCGCCACTCGCCACCTTAACTTCCAAAACACCTAAGCGTTAATTGATGAAGGGAGGCGGGGTGGGGAAGAGGCACCCGAAGTTAGAGCTCTAAGAATTTTCTGACCTCTCCAACCTCCAAAGATAAGGCAAGGTTTAAATCATGGTATAATTTAAGTGAGGTTGGAAGGCAGCTCAGCTCGCCGGACAGCGCTGATTAATGCAAGTGGGAGGAGGCGCGAGAGACGACTCCAGCCCACGCACCCTCCGGGCTGGCCCGCAATCTCCAGGATAGCTTGCTAGCGGATGCTCTCATCCAAAGCACCAAGACAAGTGGTCTCCCGACACCAGGGAGAACACAGCGCAGTGGGAAAGGATTTTGTTCGGACACAAAACGACAGAAGAAGGGTTCGCAGGACTGTGTGGGCCCAGCACAGGAAAGAAGTGGGAAGAAAAGTAATAAAAATAAATGCACGTTACCTCGCAGCGACCCCTGGGGACGTAAGGTTGTGAGACTTCCCGCCGTGAAGCAACAATAGACGCTCCAGAAGTAGAACAGGAGAGCCCAGTTTCGCATCCTTCCCTGCCACGCCCCCTCCTCTCAAACAGGTTTTTTGTAGTTGCTGATGCTTTTTTGGTTTTTCTTTTTAAACCACTAAAACCTCCCGAACCTAGAAGTGTGCAGGCATATCTCGGTCAGAAAGTGATGGGCTGGAGAGCTGCAGGAGAAACTGGAAGGTTGGTAGCGCTGGGCGCAGCGACGGGGAAATGAGGCCGGTGGAAGGACGCGCTGCCCTGCCCGACCGGTGCTCTACCGGAGCCTCCTCGAAGTCAGGGCTCACCGCTGTCACACCGCGAGCTCCAGGAGAGGTACTTTTTAAAAGTATTCGAGTCATCTGACCCATCGCCAGATGGTTATTTGCATAATTTATTCCCATCTCGGAACGCTGATTGGTCATACCTCTGACGCCAAACCGAGAACTCCCCAAAGTTTGAATGAAAGTGCCACACACCCACCACGTGGACGCCCGCAGGGATGGACTAGCTACATCGCTGGCCCACTCCACCGGCTGCCGCTTCCTCTCCTATTCCTGGACCCCCAGATCCTCCATTCACTCGCTGGATCCTACAAAGGACCATTTCACCGAAACGCTGCTCCCATTGGAGAAGAGATCTCTGGAGACCAGAGATCATCCTCTTCAAGATGGGGAGCCAGCTAGCGCTGGGATGGTCTCTCCGCACCCGAGGCCGTGGGTCGGGATGGGGAAAAGCCACATGGTCGTTTGTTCCAACTTTCTCGGCCCTGCAGCCTTGGCCCAGGGGCAAGCAGCGTGATGTGCAAAAAGCTGGGCAGATCCAGGAGTTGTGCGCTGAGCCTGCTTTTTAAGGTTACACAAACCCCATTTCAAAGACCTCATTTCATTATTAGCTGCGACACTCTAAACAAGTCACCCAACTTCTCCAAGACCGTTTCCTCACCCGAAAGTAGGGGGGTAGCAGTTCCTGAGGCTTGAGAATTATGGGGAAATTAACTCGCTCGCGAAGGAAAGCGCTTAATTTGGGTAGGCGTTCTGTTGCCACTGGGGAGTAGGAATAGGGTGCTACTAGCCACCCTTCCCAAAAAGAAGGTGAGCCCAGAGAGGGTCTAGGAGATGTGACCCAACCTGTGCCACGCGCCCGACTTCCCGGTGAGTGGAATTAGACATCCTCCTCCCTGTTCTCCATCCTTTTCTCTCTCTCTTTAATCTGAAGCTCCTGCCTGTGAGCTGCAAGTGGATGAAGCTGTGATCCGGAGTCCGCAGTTCCAGAGGACCCGCGTCTCTGAGTCCGGAGCTGAGGCAGAGCCGCTGCACCTCCCAGGGCGGAGACCCTGACCACTGGAACCAGCCGACTCGGGGTTGAGCGACTCCATCCAGCCTCCTTCGGCTAGGGAAAATTGCTCTGCTGGCCGCACCCTGGACGACTGAGGAGAAGGAGAACCCCAGCATCAGCCTCGCTCCCCTTCTCCCCTAGATAAGCGCTCCAGCTGCAGCGGCTGGCGTCAGGGAAACGGGCCCTAGCAAGCCAGTCCTGTTCTGTGACTGGCTGCCAGACTTCTTCGCTCACGTGTGCTATCACCAATTAACAAGAGGTAGTTTGGCTTTATCTCTTGAATATAAAACTCGGTGCAATCTAAGAGATGGTTAATGTCACCCTCCCGGGCCCTCCCACTGGCCCTTTCCATTGGCAAACTACCAGCGCAGGCCAGGAGCTTCTTGCGCTTAACGACGGAAACTGGGCACCGCTGGCTCCGTCTGTGAAGGACGCCCCAGTCTCTCTCTACTGCCCTAAGTTGGCCTTGGCATATTGTCATCTAGAAATGAGCCTTGGCAAGCTTTACTAAGCTGAATTTTTGTTGCTAAAACCAGAGACTAGCCTGTGATAAATAAATATTTTTTTTAAGTCTCCCCTAGCTGGGGACAACCACCCTAGCTGGGGACAACTAGGTAAGAGTGCTCAATCGCTGAAGTTCCCGGAAGCTTTTTCCCAAGGCTCCCGCTCTCTTCCGTTGTTTTACTGCCCTTATCCCAATAACATTAACTGAACAATATGCAAGGTGTGTCTTGAAGACCTTTGTCACAAATGAGACAACCTAGACTGGGTAGGTATTCCTGCTTACCCTGCCTGGTCAAACAAACAAACAAAGGCTCAACAAAAATCAACATCGGTTTTTTAACAGACAGGGAGTTGAAGTTTCATTGCTAGTTGATTAGAGCGCCCTCCTGTGTCTCCACATTAAAACACAATGTGAGAAGTTCAACGCCCCTTATGAGGTTACAATCTTAGCATTAGAATGCAGAGTATCAGTTGTCGTTCTAAATACATTCCAGGGGGGTTTTCAGCTGAAAGATTTTCGGTAGAAACTTCTGTTGGACTGCAGCCAAGATTGCAAGGGCTGCCATGGTAAAGGACTGCACCCATTCACTTGAGGCAGCCAGCGTCTGAAGACCTGTGTTACAAGAATGAATTCCCTCATATGCTAAGAGCCCACTTTCCAAAGCAAGCATTTAACCCCCAGTCTCTTTTACATGGGTCCCCAATTTAACCTCAATGAACAGATGAAACTGGAAGCTAGTGAGGCTCATATCACTCCGCCATGCCAGAAAGGGCCAGCTCTACTTATCTGGCGTAGCGGCCACGAGATCAGTGTAGAGAGAGATTCAGACTCGCCGCCTTCTTCACTTCACTGAATCCTTCCGGTTGGGTTGCTCTGCTCAGCAGATTTGAGGTGCTCCTCGGCCCCAGTAATGAGATCTTTCGCTTGAATTATCCAGAGTTGCTCTTATTACTTACAACGAAGAAAATTACTTACTCGTTTTGTGTTTATTGAGAAGCTACTAAAAGAAAACACTGGACGGGGGACTCAGAATGTTCCAGAGGCCTTCCTTGCCTCCTGGAGCTACAATCTGGATATTCCCAGACATCTAGATTGCAGCTGTATAAGTGAGCGCAGGCACAGACAGAGGGCCTGAAACAGCTGTTTGTCTTTGCAGTTCTGGGGACTAGAAGTTCAGGATCAGTGTAGCAACATTGTCCAGCTCTAGGTAGCTACCCCCTCACCGCGTTCTCACACGGGATAGAGAGAGGGCCAACAGCGGCCCTCAAGACAGGTCCCACCCTCAAGACGTCATCAAACTCCCAAAGGCCCCATCCCCTAAAACCATCACATTAGGGCTTCAACATATTCATTTGGAGGGAACATGATTTAATCTAAAGTGTCATGTACTTAATCTTACATTTATTTTCTAGTAGCCATATTATAAAGAAAAAAAGAAACACATAACATTAATTTTAGTAATGTATTTTATGCCAATACACTCAAGATATTATTCAAAAATGCCTGCCATGCCAATATGAGAACACAAGTTCAGTCCCCAGCACCTACTTAAAAGTTAGATCTTAGAGCTGGGCAGTGGTGACACATACCTTTAATCGCAGCACTCAGGAGGCAGAGGCAGGCCGCTCTTTGTGAGTTCAAGGCCAGCCTGGTCTATAAGAACGAATTCCAGGACAGGCTCTAAAACTACACAGAAACCCTGTCTAGAAAAACAAACAAACAAAAAAGTTAGATCTTGCAGTGAAACGTGATCCCAGTACTGGGGAGGCAGAAACAGGCTACTCTCTGGGGCTCCCTATTTAGTCAAATCAGCAAGCTCTAAGTTCAGTGAGAAACTCATATCTCAAAATATAAAGTGAAGAACAACAGAGGAAGAAACCAGATGCTGACTCTGATCCCACACACACAAATCATTTCAACATGGTGCCAATATGAAAATCATGAATGGAACATTTAAAACTCTTGTTTCAAAATTCAAACTAGCTGCACTTCAAGTGTTCGATAATTAATGGCTTCCACGTTGGACGGCATAGCTCTACGGTATCCAAACCAAACCCAATCTGAGAGATCTGCCGAGTGTGCCGTTTCCCTTTGCAGATAATGAAATGGACACCCATAAGCTGGCTGGAAAGGCAGAGATGGATCTAAGCAGGGTATGGAAAACTGAGGCAGGAGGAGCCTTGGCTCCCGGCCAGCCTGGATACACAGTGAATTTCAAGCAGCCTGGGCTCCATGGGGAACAACATGTCTTACAAAGTGGAAAGGAAAGGAAAGGAAAGGAAAGGAAAGGAAAGGAAAGGAAAGGAAAGGAAAGGAAAGGAAAGGAAAGGAAAGGAGAGGAGAGGGTGAATAGCGGACTAGGACAGCCAGATTCTGTAGGAAAGCTGAAATAAAGTTGCACTGTTAGCTCATACAAAGAAAACTCACAAATATGACCCCACCAAATATTAAACACTTGGCATTGTGCTAGATGGCATAGGAAACGTGAGAGATGAAAATATACTTCATGGCTTACTCAAAGTTCAGAGAAAGGTAAGAACACATGTAAATGGGACTCCAGTTAAGAACTCTGGCTGCTCTTCCAGAGGACCCGGGTTCAATTCCCAGCAACCACATGGCAGCTCACAACTGTTGGTAAGTCCAGTTCCAGGAGATCTGACATCTTCATACCCAAAACTATTAATAAATAAATAAATAATTTTTAAAAAAATGGGCCTGGTGGGAAAGACTATGAATAAAGCTTAAGAATCACAGACCTTGGTAGATGGGCTTGTATCCCAAGCCCTGGCTCTGGGATCTCCCTACATTATTTATTGCCTGCAGAATTAGGAATGCCAGTGCCAGAGCTAGGTCAGGAGAGTGGCATCTGAGTAATAAATAGCTTGACACTCCCCTCCACCAAGTAAAAGGTAGACGCTTCCAATTCCTGATGTTTCCATCAGCAAGAACGCTTCATATGGAAGAGGTGACCTGGCTCAAGGCTGGTGCAGTGTGTGGTCCCAGGGTGTTTACATAGAGTAAATATGGAAAAACTGAGGAAAGCAAGCTGAGTCTGGCTTGGTCTTACTGCAATCTTTCTCAGGAACACCTAATATGCTTGCAGCCATCCTACGATTTCAGCTTCAAGATCGGGATCCTTAGTGTGGCCCACAAGCCCTGTATGAAAGGCCTCGGGGGTGGTATCATCTCATCCCACATCACACCCTTCTTTTCTCTGCTTCTTGCCACTTGGTCTTTCCAGTTCCTCTGGTTCTATCCAGGTCGGTGCTAGCATTTGATCCATGGAACTTACTTCAGTTTGTAACTGTGCATTATTCATTTGGCTGTTTGAGTAATGTCCATCCCCTGCCTAGAAGTTCCACGAAAGCAGCAGTTGGGCTTGGTTCTGCTTGTTATTTCCACAGACCCCCAACACAAAGTCTGACGCACAAAAAGAGCTCGTTTGCTATTCGTTGAATGACTCTGCAAATAAAACATATTGTGAGCCCCCAAGACAGGGAGAGATTATTCAGCCTTTGCTAAATTGATCTGAGCACTCACCCCCACGAAGGCTTTATGGAGGGGCCAGAATTGTACAGGAAAACAGTTTGGAAAGTGTGGAGCCAGGGACTGAAGGGAAATGGCTTAAATCCCAATCCTATTCACTGTATGATCCTAGAGGACTCCGTTGAGGCAGCTTGGGTGGGTCTGCTGTGATCTCTTTCTTGTTTGTGTCCCCCCTTTTACACAGAATGATCTGAATCCTTTTATTTATTTTAACGTGAAGCATCGTGGTACATGCTTGCAATCCCAGTGTTTAGAGGGCTGAGGCAGTAGGATCGACTTCTGGCCAGCTGGACTACATAGAGACTTCAAGGCTAGCCTGAACTATAAAAGGAGACCTGTTTCAAACTGATCAAAAACAAGACATCAAAAGCAGTAGTTCTCCTTGTAAAGATAATTTAATTTAATGAGATTTCCTTTGGGCAGTTTCGGCATAGTTTTGTTTTCCTCTTGTATATGTATCCAAAAAGCACATAAAACTCAGTTTTAACTAGGGCCTTGGGTAATTCAAAGGAATTACTTCCTAGAAACCAGTCCATGCTATCGTATTTCTCTGGAGAGAAGCCATGTTCCCTGGTCCTGAACAGATCGACTCTGAGGATAGCGTAAGAAATAGGTACTATCGCTCACATTTAGCCTCCCAAGAAGCACACACCAAAGTGGTTATTTTACTCTGCTAGCTTAATGATCTTCTCTAACTAACCCCTACACAAATGTTAAAGGAGCCCTGATGAGATCATCAGAGACCTTCAGGATCCTGAAGAAGTCGGCATCTCCAAGGTAAAGGCTATTGCCAGAGCTGCTCCTGTTTGAGGAAGCCCAGATGAGGGAGGATACCATGCTAGAGGTTGCCCAGACTCTCCCTCCACACTCTGCTTCCCAGGGAGTGGAGACCGGCAGAAGATGGGCAAGGCCCAGGGGATGGGGCCAGATGACGAGTTGGTGGACCACATGACCAAACTAGGGTCATAGTTAAGGAGCATGGGTTCTTCCAAACTATAGGGGAAAAATAATTAAACTTGAACCAAAATGCTCCATTTTCTCCTATAACTGTTTAAAACAAGTTTAAAGTTAGCAAGTTTAAAACAGCTAAATGAATAAACAGACTGTTTTATTTAGGGTTACTATAGTTGTTATAAAACACCATGACCAAAACAAGTTGAGGAGGAAGGAGTTTATTTGGCTTACACATCCACATCACTGTTCATCATCAAAGAAAGTCAGAACAGGAACTCAAACGGACCAGAACCAGAAGGCAAGAACAGATGCAGAAGCCCTGGAGGGGCCCTGCTTACTCGTTTGCTTCCATGGCTTGCTCAGCCTGCTTTCTTATAGAACCCAGGACCACAAGAGTAGGGATGGCACCACCCACAATGGGCCAAGCCCTCTCCCAACGACCGCTAATTAAAAAAAGATGCTGTACAGCCAGATCTTATGGTGGCATTTTCTTCTCAATTGAGGGTCCCTCCTCTCAGATGACCATAGGCTATGTCAAACTGACATAAAACTGTCCAGCACCGACCCCATAACCACAAGGAAAAATAGCAAAGTAACCAGCTACCCTACCCACCCTCTAATCCATTGGCACCAAGTACGTATGGCTCCTCACTAAGTTTCTTTCTCTCTTTTTATTTATTTATTTATTTTACATACCAACTGATAAATTTCTTTATACTACCACACTCCTGGGTAAATTCAGTTTTTCGTCCACTCTGGTACACACACTGACATAGAAGAACACAGCTGAGAAAATCACGAGACTCTTCTACTAAATGAAATCCATGACCACTAATGTCAACTGGCCTTTTAATTCTACTTAGTGATAAAACAGTAATCCCCTGGACCATTTGCTCCTCTTTGCTTTTTCCTGGGTCACTCTTAATGTCCTCTCTCCTTAAATTTCCAACACCTTGTCATCCTCATTCACAGCTGATATCCTTACATCCATCTTATTGAGAAAATAAAAGGCAGATCCACAGGTTACATTCCAGATCTGTGCCTATGTCTTCAGCCTGCTTTTTTGTTACTGCAAAAGAGCTGCCTGTACTTCTGTTCAAGCAACACACATACATGCATGCACACATACATACATACACACACACATACACATATACATACGCACACACATACACATATACATACGCACACACACAAGCACACATATATACACATACACACCAAATTCCATTCCTTCTCACTCCACAAGGATATTACTACAACTGGTTTTCCCTCCCTGTTGGATCACTTCTGCCAACATACAAATTATAATCTCTCTGTTACATATAGTAAAAGATAATGCAGGTTTAGTAGAGAGGAGCTGAAACAAATTAGACTTTAGAAGACTATAGAGTTGCAGCCGTGGTCGGGTCTGGAAGGGAGAAAGCAAGATGCAGAAAGTGCGTCAGCAGGAGAGGCAGATGTCAAGGATAGCCTAGCAGGGGCTGGGAAAGGAAAGAGCCTTACCCTTCAGCTCCAAAGAACAAAGGGAGTTTCTCATCCTTACAGGTTCTTTGGGGGGGGGGGGGGCGCCCCGGGGAGGATCCACATCATATGACCTAGGCTAAATCCCAGGATTCACAAGGCAGGGAGGCACAAGATGAAGGTAGTGTTGTAATTCAAGGTTGTCTTGGGCCCGGGTGTCAGAGCTGTGTGGTTGCTCCCAGCTGCAGAGGGAAGGGAGACAGCAAGGTCACAGCAGGCTTGGCTTATCAGCTCTGGGGAGAGACTGCACTGAGTGGCTTGGGTTCTGGGAGACAGGAGTGGGAATTTATGATCTAATGCTCTCTATCAAGGAAAAAAATGTTTCTTGACTTTGGTGAAGGAGGCCCTTCTGTATTTGTGTTGCTTTCATTGGTTATTAAAGAAACTGCCTTGGCCTAATTGATAGGGCGGAACTCAGGTAGGCAGGGAAGACAGAACAGAATTCTGGGAGGAAGAAAGCAGAGACAGGCAGACGCCATGGTTCTCCTGCCCGAGAAGGACGCTGGTTAGGCTCCTGCCGGTAAGCCACAGTCAAGTGACAATACACATTAATGGAGATGAATTAAACTAATATGTGAGAGTTAGCCAAGAAGAGGCTAGATATAATGGGCCAGGCAGTATTTATATGAATACAGTTTCTGTGTGATTATTTCAGGTGTAAGCTAGCAGGGCAACTGGGACAAACAAGGGGCCCCATTCCTTCTACTACAGAGTGACGCCCAACGTGGTAAACTGACTCCAGTTTTTGTGAGTTGTCACCCGTGCTAGGTGGCTTTTTTGCTCCTGCAACTGCATTTATGTCGTCCATATTCCCATAAGTACCCAGTAACTGATAATTCTACAAACAACTCCAATATAGTCACAGATTCACTAAACTAGACTTGAATAGAATTGATCTGTCATAGATGGTTACACAGGAAACAATAGATGTTTGCTTGTCTCTCTAGGAAAAGCCACACAACACTTACCAGCTGAGTTACCCAAAAGACATCTGAAACACACTATGTGTCTCCCCAAATCCACTCCTGTCTCAGTCTCTTTAACTTAGTAAGTGGCAAACTAGTTAGACTGTTTTTCTCCTTCCATATTTAATAAATTCCAGAAGTCCCATGTGGTGCTACATTTTTATTTAATGTTAATTGGTTTTTGCCTGTATGCATGTCTGAAGCCCTGGAACTGGAGTTACAGACAGGTGTGAGCTGCCATGTGGGTTGAACCCAGGTCCTCTGGAAGAACAGTCAGTACTCTTAACCACTGAGCCGTCTCTCCAGCCCCGTGATGGCTACTTTTAATAGCTCACTTCACCAAACCTAGAATCAGCCGGGAAGAGGGTCTCAATGAGGGACTCTCTAGAGATGAAGATGGCCTGTAGGCGTATCTGGGGAGATTGTCTTGATTGTGTTGATATGCTCAGTCCTCTGTGGGTGGCGTGATTTCCTTGACTTTGGGTCCTACAATGGATGAGCACAGAGGTGAGCTGAGCAGTGAGCACGCACCCATTGCACCCATTTATTCTCTCTGCTCTTGACTGTGGATATGAAGAGTCACCTCGATTTCACCACATGATGAACAATGGCGTGGAACTGTGAACTAAAATAAATCCTTTATCACCTTAGTTCTTTATATCAGGGTGTGTTATCATAGCAGCAGAAATGAAACTAGGACACTCGCGTTAGGATTTGTCTGGAATTTGACCTTCTCTGCACATCTCCACTGTTGCCACTGAGGGCCAATCACTAACACCTTTCACCTGCAATAAACCACACCCTAATCCATTCAGGGTGAAAGTGGCTTCTCATTCTGCAAGTCCTCCCTTGCCTCTCAGACATGAGTTCCCTTCCCTCCTTCATGTGGTCTTCATATTCTGGGCATGTTCCCACCTTGGACCCCTGATCTCTGAGGTGATACCAGTCCCTCATGCATGTGCTAGGATGCCTTTGTCTCTCTGATTTAAAGAAGAAACCCTTTACCTTGGAAGAACCTTGTTTTCCTCTCTTGTTTTATTTTCTAATTCTAACCACCATCAGAAATGTTTTGCATCTTGACTATATTTTTTTTCACAATCTGCCCCTCCACTAAAATGAAGAGGATTTGTGTGTGGCAGGGGGTATCATTACTATATTCTTAATGCCAAGGCTTACTTATAAAATAAACACCTGATAAATTCCTGAAATATCTAAATTTTTTGAAAGTCCAGTAGAAGGTAAAATCACCAAAATTCTTCTTGCCAAGCTAAAATAACACTGATATCAAATCTGACAGAGTGAAAAGCAAAAGAGAAAAAAAGAAAACTAAAGATCAGCTTCATATTTAAATACTTGACATAAAAATAAGCAAATAAAACGGAATAACATATGAAAGGGAAAATGAGAAAAAATGTTAGCAAATAAAGCTTAATAACACATGAAAGGGAAGATTCAGTCTAGAAATGGATACAAGCATAGATCAATACAAGGAAATCTGTAAATGTAATTTATCACATTTATATATCAAAAGAAGACAAAAATTGCAGTAATTCAATGAAAAGAATCACAATAAGATAATTCACTGGGGATCTGACTCAGAGGCAGAGCACTTGCCTAGCAAGCAGAAGGACCTGTTTTGAATTCCAGTACCACCCTTCCCTTCCCCCTCAATAAAGAAAAAAAAATCAGTGTTGTGCATGGTGATGCATGCCTATAATCTCAACCCCCTGGAACAAAGGCAAAGAGATGGCAAGTTCAAAATCAGTCTGGGATTGGAGAGACGGTTCAGTGGTTAAGAACCTGGCCACTATTCCAGAGGACTGGGGCTTCAGTGCCCAGCACCAACAGGGCAGCTCACAATCACCTGTTAACCCCAGTTTCGGGGGGATTCTGATGCCCTCTACTGGGTTCCGCAGGCACTGCATGCATGTGGTTTATGGTACAGACAAAATGGCCATACACACAAAATAAAAGATTTTCTTTTTTTAATTCAGTAATAAAAATGGTTGCTAATCTCTGCACTTGAAAGGCAGAGAGGCAAACGGATCTCTGTGAGATCGAGAACAGCTTGGTCTACATGGTGAGTTTCAGGACAATCAGAGCTGCACGTAGAGACCCTGTTTGTAAAAACAAAACAACAATTGATTGCTCATTTAATATACAAAAGTCTACCACAGTCTCTCCAGTAACTCGTTAGAAAGGCCTGTAGTAAAAATCCCAGCACTGGCTGGGCGGTGGCGGCGCACACATTTAATTCCTACCCGGCTTCCCCCCATGCATTCGGGAAGCAGAGGCAGGCGGATCTCTGAGTCTCTGAGTCTGGTCTACAGAGGGAGTTCCAGGACAGCTAGGACTGTCTAGAAAAAAACTGTTTCTAGAAAAAAAACATGTCTTGAAAAAAGACGAGACCTCTTTCCTTTCTGCCACGGTCATGCCATCCAGACTGAGGAAGACCCAGAAACTCCCTGGCCACGTGAGCCACGGCCATGGCCGCATCGGTAAACATCGCAAGCATCCAGGAGGACGCGGGAACGCTGGAGGCGTGCATCATCATAGGATCAACTTCGACAAATATCATCCAGGTTGCTTCGGGAAAGTTGGTATGAGGCATTACCACTTAAAGAGGAACCAGAGCTTCTGCCCGACTGTCAATCTGGATAATCTGTGGACGCTGCTCAGTGAGCAGACCCGGGTTAACGCTGCCAAGAACAAGACTGGAGTTGCTCCCATCATTGACGTCGTGCGATCGGGCTACTGCAAAGTTCTGGGCAAGGGAAAGCTCCCTAAGCAGCCTGTCATCAGGAAAGCCAAATTTTTCAGCAGAAGAGCTGAAGAGAAGATAAAGGGTGTTGGAGGTGCCTGTGTTCTG